TCCAAAACATTTGGGTGACCCCTATCTCATTGGAAAAAAGCTTGGTGTGGTGGTGCACACCTGTCATCCCAGCAACTGTGAGAAATTTAAAATACGAGGATGGTGTTCCAGGCCTGCCTTGGAATAAAGCAGGACCCTATCTCCAAAATGACCAGAGCAAAAAGATCTGGAGGCATGGCTCATGTGGAAGAGTGTGAAGCACTGAGTTAAAACTTCAATACTGCTCTCCTCTCTAGTAAATGTGAGTGGAGTTGTTAAATAAAATTTATAAGTGGTCATTGTTTGGACAAAGTCCAATTAGTTGGGTAGAAATCTCAACAAACCAATCCAAAATGGAGTCACCATTGCTAAATTTCTGTGTTGCCAAGCCTAAATGAAGTTGTTTGCCCATTTGAAAGGTCAGAGGAGAAAGAGAAAGAGTGAGAGAGAGAGAGAGAGAGAGAGAGAGAGAGTGCGAAATGGCTAAACAACCCAGTTGGTGCAAGAAACCGTCTGCCTTAACTTTTATGAAAAAAGTAACTTTGAAATGATAGAATCAAAGCAAAGTTTAATTTGCTTTCTGTTTTGGATGTCCTTATCCTTTTCTGACTATGAAACTAAAGTGCTCTGCTCAGCGTATGAGGTCACTCATTCTATTTTATAGGAGGAGAGGCTACTTGATTCTACAACTTGATACAGAAGACAAGATCTTAAACAAAGTTTGCTGTAACTTTTTCTTTTGATCAGTAGAATTTACCCATAGACAAAATCTGGTGTTAAGTTCTTGGCTTACTTTTTGTTGTGCTTGGGATTGAACATAGGGCCTCTAGCATGCTAGGCAAGTGCTCTACTACTTGGGTTTTGGGTGACCCCTCGGTCCCCTTGTGTGAATTTTAAAAGCACAGTCAAATGGTCTTTATGAAAATTAATCTTGCAGGTGCGGGCAGGATATATTTCTCGGTGATTCCCAGTATTTTGCCAGGGGAGGAAATGTTTATGGAGTTCTGCTTGTGTTAAGACATTGACTAGAATGTTCGCTGAAAGTGCCTGCATTTGTGTTTTGCCCAGGATCACAGTTAATGAGTTATATATTAGGTCTTGCCATGAAATATGTACCTATAAAACAAATCTCAACTGTAAAGGAACTCCAAAGGTAGGTCAAGGTACCTGTGGGCAATGGAGTGCTTCTACCCGCTCTGTAGTGTAAACCAAGTATGTTTTATCTGAGGATGTTTGATTGGGGTCTTTGAGCTTTGTAGAGAGCCACTATCTCTTCATGATTCAGGTTTTCCAAGTGCAGTTTGCCTAACTGCCTGTGCTTCTTTCATCGTATAAAGTTAAGACAATAGGTGAGGTGAAGAAGGTGGCACCTCCTGGGTATGGTTCCCTTAAGGCCCCAACCAGTATTTCTCTTTTCCTGGAGATTATTTGAAACTTCATTTTCATGATGAAGAGCTGTTTAGGTTTTCCTTTCCTTTTTTTTTTGGTACTAGGAATTGAACTCAGTGCACTTCCCTTCTTTGGCAGGCATGCTGCCGCTTGAGCCCCAGCCATTTTTGCTTTAGTTATTTTTCAGATAGATTCTCAAGTTTTTAACCGTGATCTTCCTACTTAGTTGGAATCACGGGTGTAATCCAACACCTCACTTGTTGGTTGAGATGAGATCTCGTGAACTATTTGGTTGGGATGGTCAGTGATACTTCTAATCGCTACATCCTGATTAGCTGAGATTACAGCTGTGAGCCACCATGCCTGGCCCATTTTGTAATTTTTTTTGAGGGAGCTTAGCTTGTCTAATTTTATTTTCAAAATTTTGAGCATTTCACCAATGTTGTTTATTGTGTTAACATGAAATTGTTTATAATATGCCCTGGTTATCTTTTAATATTTTTTAGTGCTGCTGCCTCTGTCATTCCTGCCATGGAGAACTTGGTCCTTTATAGTTTTTTTCCTGATGCATTTGGCTACATTTTATTCATTTTTCTGCAGGAACCAGCTTTTCACTGGTTATTCTCTATAATTTCTTCTAATTGTATTGATTTCAGTTCTGATCTTTATTTCCTTTCTTCTGTTTATGTGTGGTTTCAGTTGCTAATATTCTATAGTTATTGTGGAAGCTGAGGTCAGTGACTTGAGACAGTTCTTTATGGTACTATTTTAGGAGCATCCTGTAGACATTGGTATGTTTTAAATTTTTCATTCAGTTAAAAAAATACTTTCTACTGTACCAGGAGGCTAAGGCCAGAGGATCTTAAGTTTGAGGACAGCCTGGATTATATAGTGACACCCTATCTAAAGAAACGAAAAACAAAACAAAAGAAAAAAGCACCCTAAGCCCAACCTTTCTAATTCCCCTTTTGATACCTGTTTTTGAACAAGGACATATAGAAATATACTATTTAGTTTCCAGCTACTTGGAGCTATTGATTTCTAACTTTAATGCCATTATGATCAGAGAAATTACTGGGTGTGACTTCACTTTTCCAGAAGGGTTTTAAAAGCTGAGAGCTAGTAAAGTGTATTTTTTGGTAAAATTTGGTGACGGAGAGAAAAGGAATGCAAGCACAGACTGCATGGATGAATCCAGAACTTGAGCAGGGCATGTTCGGGCAGCAGGGCATCTGTTCTGTGGCAACAGAAGGGAAGGCAGGTATGTGGTGGTTATCCTCCAGAGAATCTATTTTCAGTTTGAAGTGTCAAAGTGGAGGTCATTGGTTAGAGGGGTTAGTTTGGGAAATCTAGAACAGTCAGATTGCAGGTGGAAAAGTAACTTTATTAGAGAATTAGGCAGCATTTCTGGGCCACTGGGATTGTGATTATTAATTTCAGAGTGCAGTCTCTTGTGATTCCTTCTCTCAGTTGTATAGCTGAGTATAGGCTGGAACTGGTGGTTACAGATGAGGATTTGTGTTTTCTGGACACATACAGAATGGAGAGCTTGCTAGGGAAGAGTGATAGCGTTGGGCTGTGACTCTTTATTGTGAGATATCGTGCATGTTTCTAAATTGTAGGTGTCTGAGAGATGTATATGCTATCCTATCTTGTGGAGATGTAAGCAGCTTCTTCACAGTGGACACACTATTATTATCTCTATTTTTACTTCAACTCAACATTCCTGAATTCCATGTAAATCTGCACCCTATAGCTTTCCTTTGAATGATACCCTTAATATTACATCTATCTGGATCCTTAATATTATAATATCAGATGAATAATCATATAATATATTCAATGTGAGCTTAGTTTTATATCTACATGATAGTCATAATTTACTTTTGTTTCAAACTTTGATTTTAGCACCACGTACCTTATCCTGCAGCTGAAGAAACAAATCCTTAGCAATACAGATGGAATACCTTGTGTGCTACCTGAGCTGAGATTTAACCAGATATTTGAACTGGATTGTTTTGTTTTCTTTAAAGCTCTTAACAATGCTAGCTGGTATTAATGTATTAAGAAAAAATATCTGTACAGTTCAACTATACATTTCCAAACTAGAACTTGAGATATGACGGTCTTGACCTAGACATTGTTGATCTTCAGGTGTCTGTTTACAGAAATAAAATAAGTAGGAGGCCATGAACACCCTTGTTGAAGGGTAAAATCTGTAAAATAAACCTCACTTTAAAATAAGGGCCCTTGTTTTCATGGGTGAGCCCTTTTCATGTTTCTGACCCTGGAAATACTGGTGAGGAGAAAGTTCCCGACAGTAGAGGCCTTGCACAACACACATCAGTTCTGTGGGAAGGAGGATGGAGTGGACAGTACTGGATGCCTCCTGGAGCCCATCTTTGTGACAGGCAGTGAACAGTGCTTCTTTTTGCCACAACTTCAATTTCAGTATGTGATGACAGCACACACTTTGCACGGTCATGTGCCAAGCACTGTTTTCAACACTTAAATTAAGACATTAAATCCTTTATTATCCCCAGTTGACAATCGAGGAAACCAAGACACAGCAAGATGTTGTCACTAGGCCTCCTTCGGGTCATGCACTAATGGAACAGAGCTAGGAATCCTCCTACCTCCTGTTTCTTTTTGCTCTTCTGGGTTTGAACTTAGGCATGTTAGGCAAATATTCTACTGCTGAGCAAGATTCCCAGCCTCTCATCATGGTCAGAAAGCTTTCGCTGGTGGAGTGGCCCAAGCACTAAGAGGTGCCCGCCTAGCAAGTGTGAGGCCCTGAGTTCAAATCCCAGTACTGCCAAAAAAACCTGAGAATGTGTAATGTCTCAAATAATACACATTTCTTTCAAAAAAAAAAAGAACTTTTAATAAATAGTAGAAAAAACAGTGTAATAGACACCCATATATCTACCTGTGCTCTGTAGTCATGAACATTTTGTTATAATGTTCATTTCTGTTTTCCTGAAATGTGCGAGTATTTCAGGCTTCATGACACTTCATCCTACGACATTCACGTGGAGCCTCAACAGTCATTCTTTCATCTTTGAGCCACTTGTCACTCCTTGCCATTGGCTATGTGTCTACCATTTGGGCTTTTTAAAGAAACCAGGTCCACCACCATAAACTTCATGGTGTTGGCTATGTTTCCGGAGGGGCTGGTAAACCCAATTCCAAGAACCAAAACCAGCTAGGGCCCTTGGTTTCCATAGTGAGTCTGCCTTCCTGTCACCCAGTGGCAAACTTGAGTGCTTACAATAGACTGCGTGGCCAAAAAGAGCCACAGATAATACTACCTGGCTCCTTCTAGGTTTGCCAACCCCTGAGTTATACTGTCCCTTCCCTTTACCTATCTTTTATGTAGATTTTACTCCAGATGGAACTGATAGGACATGAAAAGAACTACAGAGATGGACATGCCTAAAGAACCATTTATTCACCTTGATTTTCATTTGCAATTCCCAGAAACTGATTTTTTTTCCTTTGTCATAGAAGAAATCAAGAAACAGTCCTGAATTAGCAACTACTCAGTGAGTAGCTTACTCAATTGCTAGTAAATCAGTTCACAGAGTACATGATAGGGTTGTTTTTATATCTTATTTCTTTTATTTGGATAAGAGTATTTTGATAGTATAGGTATCCTTTGGGTCATCTCAGAACAGGTATAAATGGGAATCATGGAAGGAGGTGAGCTGAGCTCACCATTGTTCAACTTTTTTCTCATAGACAAACTGGCCATGAGGGCCCTCTGCATCCTGAGGCAAAAGGGCCAAGTACACAGGGGTCTCTGCTCCTTCTTCCAGGCTTTTGGGGGCTGAGGGTCCCGCCATGTCTGTTCTCACCCACCCTGGGCAACAGGCGTTCAGGAAGATCTTTTCTCCTCTTCTCTGCTCGTTGAGGTTCCTGGCATGGATTCTGGACAGGACTGTGACACCGATCTTAGTCACCCCATATGCAGAACTGGGCCAGCCTTCTTTCTCGTGTACTCCATTCTTGGTATCTTCCACAAACTTGTTCATGAGTCCCACCAGCTCCTCCTCTGTGATGGTCTCACTTCGAAACTTCTTCTGTAGCTCTGGGCTACAATTTTTAAGAGCTGAGAGACTCAGGGTGCTTGACACATTCACCACTCTGCCTGAAATACATCACAAATTATCACATAGAGAGGTGTACAAAAGAATGGTGAATACAAAATTTGCTGGGACTTTAGATCAAAAATTTCCATTTGAGTTACTATTAACCTTATGAGTTGGAATATGAGTACACACAACATTATTGTGTAGCCTAAGGACTTCCATTCAGTCTAAAAGTTTTGGGCAGGTGGAGGAGTCAGGTAACAATAGAAAGAGCTGCCCTTTGAAGTCCTGGTGAACAGTTTTAGAAGTAGTAGAACCTTCTGTGAGGACAAGATGGGAAACAGGATTTGAGAGTAAGCTGTACATGCAAGTCCTCAGCTCCAAGCTCCACATTCCATTTTTCCAAATGTGGCTGCTGGTCTTTATTGGTGTGATTTAATGAGTGGTGGTTCACCTGGTCTCCAGATCACATGGGGTCAGGATTAGAGCTGTTTACAGTGAAAGAAATAGGATAGCTTGCTATGCAGGGCACAGGTATGTTGATAGGGACTGCGGTTAGCCTGGAGGTGGAGGGTCAGCTCGTGGTGATCTCTATGCACCATGCTAAGGACTTGGGTTTTCTCCTGAAGGATCTTTGGGAGGGGAGTGGACAGGCAGACAGTGTGCAGAGGCCTATAAAGGACAAGGCTCAGGAAGGTGGCCTCCCTGGAAGGTTTGCAACTGTGCATCTTGACAGCCAAGGGCCTGTTGTAGAGCTGGGATGAGAAGGATTTGGGAGACACTCTGTGGCCACAGTCTCACAACAGTGATTCTGAGGGGCAGGGCATGGTACACCCCAGGGATGCTGGTGGGTGGCCAAGAAGATTCCCAGGAGATGGGGCGGGGGGGTGGGGAATATTAGGAGGATGAATCCTATGGACCTCTAATATATGAGAGGATTGTAGGAACCAAAGATTTTCTGAGGAGACTATTGAAGCCAGACTTGAAGAATCAGAAAGAACCAGGTGTGCAAAGATTAGTGAAACAGACCATGAAGCCATTAGAGAGAAAAGGACAATGTAGCAGAGCCATTCCTTTAGGGTGGAGGCCTAGCAAGAAGGCAGGTGCTGCTGGGGGCTAGTGGCTCATGCCTGTAATCCTAGCTATTCAGGAGGCAGAGATAAGGAGGACTGCCACTTCTAACCGGGCTGCTCAAGGGTATGGGAGTGGAGGTAGGTTGGGGGTGGGGGGAGTGGCTGGACATGCTGTCAACAATGCTGGGCAAATACTTTGTGGGATCCTACTTAGAAAACAACGAACACAAAACAGGGCTGACTGAGTGGCTCTAGTGGGAGAGTGCCTGCCTAGCAAGCATGAAGCACTGAGTTCAAACCCCAGTACCACTCAACCCCCCATCCCCCGCGCCCCCGCGCCCCCTTGCAGTTTGAGTTGTAGCAGAAGAGGATGGGAGTTGCAGATGAGAGCTCAGGCAGCCAGGGCAGATCCCCCACCAGACTTACCTTGGGGTTTTATTAGAGGGAGTAGCTCTGTGCAGATATTTCGGGTACCAAAAAAGTTAGTTTTCATTGTCACTTCTGCTTGAATGTGAAAGGGTGTGGGATCAGCCACTTTTAGGGGAGAGAAAGAACAGAATCTTGAATAGTAGCCAACGGGTATAATTTTGCAGCGTTAAAATGTTTGACATCTCGTTACAGTAAATAAACCCTGTGATTAATTTCATAACTGTGCCACTGTCAATTCTGTGCTTTGATGTTATACTACTTCTGTAAGATGGCACCATCGGGTAAGCTAAGGGAAGGCTGCAGAGCAGGAGAGGAAAAGCCCAATCACAGGAAAACTGGGCGAAGGAACCCCTGGGGATGATCCTTAGGACTTCCCGCAGGGTAAACACAAGAGTCTATGGTGTCTGGAGCCTTCCCAGCCCCAGGGGGCTCTGCAGGCGGACCTCTGCTGCTCCTCCCTAGGGGTTTGCCCTGGATCCCACGGGCCACAGGTGCCCCACTCCAGCGCCGCCCAGACAGGCACAGCCCACCCTGGCGCTTGGCACTCGACAACCATCCTCCACGCTGCGTTTCCCAGCCCCTTACTCTTGAAGGCGATGCCCGCGTTGTTGACCAGCACGTCCAGCCCCCCGTACTCCTTGCGCAGAAAGTCGCGCAGAACGCGAATGCTCTGCAGGTCGTCGATGTCCAGCTGGTGGAAACGCGGGCTCAGGCCCTCGGCCTGCAGCTGCTGCACCGCCGTCCGGCCCCGCGCCTCGTCCCGGGCCGTGAGTATCACGTCCCCCGAGAACTGGCGGCAGAGGTCACGCACGATGGCGAAGCCGATGCCCTTGTTGGATCCGGTCACCAGCGCCACGCGGCTCGTGGACGACATGGCTGGTTGGACAACGCCAGGCTTGAGCGGGTAGTGAACTCGCAATTTGGCTAGAATGAAGGCAGTGGTGCGTCTCGCAGTTTGTACCTACGGAGTGCCCAGCGCGCAGGCGCAGCCGGAGGCCCTGCCCCAGCAGGGCGTGGTTAAGCGGGAACCCCCCGAGGCTGCAGAGAAGGGCTGGGACTTTTCAACTACAAGTGCAACTACCCAGCTCACAAGCACAGCTCCCAGGCACAAGTCTTGGGCTTTCTAAACGTGGCTGCTCGTGTCATTGGGGTCTATTTAATTTGTGGTCGTTCACCTGCCTTCCTAGTTACTTGCAATATTACAGTACTTTGCCTCTAAATAAAGATCGGGTTTCAGGTGTGTAATCTTGGTAGCCTTTCACAGCAAAGGAAAACCAACAGGTACTTTTTCCTTTTTTTTGAACCGCCTTTGTTTCATAGGGGTGATACTTCCAGTTGCCAGAAAGAATTTGTGGAAGGTGGAGTCAGAGTAGGAAAAAGCCATGTAAAAAAAAAAAAAAAAGAGAGGAAAGATATATAAAAAAAAATTGGTCCTAAAGTTGGAAGCATACAGGATGTTGTTGGGGGAGTGCAGAGGAGCCTGGAGACAGGAGAGGTCAGATTATGGAGAGCTCTGTGAACCATGCTAAGAGCTAGGACTTTTCACAGAAGTTTTGGAAGGTGAGTAGCCAGGCAGACAATGTGCAGAACCTGCTCAAGCAACTGGTCAGGCCACGACTGGTGGCTGCCAGGGCTTCCTGCTGGCATTAAATAGCCACTCACATTGACTCCTTGGTAGATCTGGGCTGACCCTTCATCCCTGCTTCTCTAAGGTTTGCTTCCTATTTCTGCAACTGTCCACATACTGGCAGTTGTGTCTGCAGTCTTCTTTATGCACTTTTTCTGAAGGTGTAAAAAAATTTTGCTGCAACTGAATTCTTTGGAGCTACAGCTGTGGAATGAGCTTAGAGAAGATGAGGGGTCAAATCTGTTGAATTTCCCCCTCAGTACATTAAAGCAAAGCTCCTGGCTTTCCCTTGATCAGATTTTCCAAGAGTGGTAGGAAACGTTCACTAAACAACCGCAGGTTACCTCTCTGGGTCACTGAGCATTTGTAAGGCTGTCATCTTACCTGCATGTGATCAGTGTAGTGTATAAGTTGGGGAGAGCTCACAGAAGGTTGATCTACACTCAAATTAGCTCATCAGAATGTGCCTTTTAACTCCATTTCCCACTCCCCCCCCCTTTTTTTTTTTTTGCTGTACTGGGGTTTGAACTCAGGCTTTGTCTACTTGCTAGGCAGGCATTCTACTGCTTGAGTCACACCTCCAGCCCTTTTGCTCTGGTTATTTCTTTCTGCCCAGACCAGCCTGGACTGTGACCTTCCTATTTTAAGCTTTCCACCATTGCTAGGATGACAGATGCATGCCAGTATGCCTAGCTTTCTTCTGTTGAGTTTGCGGTCTCTCAAACATTTTTTGCCCTGGCTGCCCTGAAAAATGCTCCTGATCCCAGCCTCCAAGGTAGCTTGGCATGACTGGCACATATCCCCCCACCGGCTTTGGTTGAGATGGGGCCTCCAGTACTCCCAGCCTAGGCTGGTTTCTAATCCCTATCTCCTTGGTCTCAGTTTTCTGAGTAGCTACAATTAGAGGCATTGAGTACTGGTTTTAACAACCTTTAAAAATAAAGTAATGCACCTTTGCTCAGAAAGTTTTTTTAATGGTGCAGTGGTGGGAAGTGAATTTTCCTCACTAATTATAACTTAAAATAAGGGAATAGGGAACCATAAGATCAAGTTTCATTTCTGTGCTGGCCCATAAGTAATTACCATGCACAATTGATCATTTAATCTAACTTTAGTCAAAATGAATGCATTTAAGAAACTCTGGTTTTAGTTTCAATGGCCGCACTGCTCACTATTCAATGACTACTGTATTCTGCAGTACAGGTAAGAATATTTCCATCCTTGCAAACGTATTTGTTGCTCATTTCTGCTTTACAAATTAATTACCTTACCCACTTCAGGGTAGGTTTCTAATCAGTTGCTTAAGAAAAAGTTAATAATCAGGAAAAGTTCCTTGGTTTTTTTTTTTCCTCCCAACTGTAATTTTTACTGAGATATTTATAGTTTCACATAGACAGTTCTAAGAAATAATAGACTATACTTATTTGCAAAACTCTAGGATAACATCACACTTAAATGTTGAAAATAAAATAATCTGCCAATTATATTCAGATTCCTACTGTTTTGTGTCATTTATGTGTATTTGGTTTTATATAATTTTGTCCAACCTGTAGGCTGTGTATGCATCACAGTGAAGACTCAGAACATCTCCACTAGCTCAAGGGCTCTCGTGTTTTTTTTTTGTAAGCAGCACTCCTCCCCAACTCAGTTCTGTGCCCCGGCAGCTCAGCATGCACTCACCATGTCTAGTTAAGAAGATTCTTTTTCAGCATGTAACACAGATGAAGTCATACGGCATGTGACCTCTGGCAAGTATGCATTTTCACTCATGATGACCAAGCAGTTTCTGTTTTCTCCTTTATCTCAGTGTTGGTTTTGTCTACTGTTAGCCAGCCTCTCTCAACACTGCTTTTTTTCTGTAGCTTGAGTCACTGTTGGTTGGATTTAATTCAGTACAAGAGCTACTCAGAGACAGCTCATGATATACAAGAAATCTTGAACGTGGTGAGGTTCCTAGTGAGAAATTAGGAGTCAGGAGTAAGTTAAGGAAAGGGTTCAATTACTAATTGAGAGCCACACAATAAAACAAAGGAAGAAAGTCACAAAATGTTTTTCACTCCCATTTCACTGTAAAGCCAGTGTTTCAGAACTGGGCAGCAAAACAGGATGACCTAGAGATGCAGAAGAGGAGGCACTGGGGGGTGGGGTGGGAGAAGCACTTTGAGAACTATTTCCCAGAGTCTGAGAAATAACCTCAAGCCACATTGTTCTCTCAGTACATGGCCATAAAAGGAACCAATAAATCTGCATTAGTTCAATACCTAGTTGGCATACGAAATTGGGTAACACCTTACTCTGGTGAATAAAAATCCCTAGAACACTGGAGAGTTGGCAACCCACTGGGGACTCCTCCCTTTCCCTCAGGGGCTTTTGTCCTTTCCTTAATAAATTTCCTACTTCTATGCTCACTCTTTGTGAAGTTTTTCAGCTTCTTGAGACAAAAACCAGAATGCAGACCCTCCCTCTGGCTAAACACTTAAGCCTGCAAGGTGGAGTGGAGGGTTTCTGTCCTGCACAAATCTCCCATATTACTACTGTCTTAAAAGGCAAAGCAAGAGGGCCTTGCCTCACGATTTTGACAACCTTGAATCTAGTTAGCACGAATCGACCCTTCCCACACTGTGCTTTTTGAAATCAAATCACTAAGTATGGTCATGATCCAAGCAGGTGGGCAAAAATTGAGCTCTCTCTCTCCTGGAAGGACATTTAGAGTTTTCCCAGAGTTTCCCAGTCCTGGGTTTGGGAAGAACAGGGAGATGGGTTGGCAGCTGGTGGAGGTCCCAGCGTGAAGAGGATGGGTGAGGAGGGTCTGTCATGGCTGGGGCCCTGCGCCTGGGTGGCTTCTCTTAGTAAGTGCTGTAGGCCAGCACTTTAGAAGGCCGGGGTGTTGGGGTTAACAGTGAGGACAGCCATGTTAGGACCAGACTCTCTGCCCCCCTTGCAGGTGGCTCACTAGAAACTCCCCACTGAACCCCAAAGACTGACCAAGGGCAGTTGTTAACCTTTATGTCTGGATGGGTGCCAAGGACAATGGGGCAGTGACTTAACCACAATTTATCTTCTTGGTTGCTTAGCAACGGTATCCCTTAGTGACCTCTGTGGCCAGCGCTTCTTGGTTCAATTGAGCACAGACAGTACTCAGGAGACTCTTATTTCAGAGAACAGGGATTTTATTCAAACAAATTCACAGGGCACTTTCCTATGGATGCTAATGCCTGTCTCTGCTACCCTAGCCAGCCAGGAGTTACTCAGACCTTCCCGCAAGTCTTCTCAGCGGATGGGTGGAGGGGGGCGTAGCTGCGCCCCGGGGGATCCTCACTGCCGCCTTCAGTGCGGGTCCAGCTCACGGTTCACCAGCGACACCCAGTGGTCGTCGGGAGAAGGGGCGCGCTCACAAGCCGCGCCTGCCTCTATGGCAGGGTCTCCGATGTCAAGCAGGCGAGCAAGGCATTGGGTTCTAGCCTGAGTTTATAGACCCTGTGGTGACCTCACCACTTGTTATTAACACTGTCATCTTAGGGCTGGCTTATTAGCATATCAGCGGCCATCTTAGGTTTGGCTCATTAGCACATGAGTTTGTCACACTCCGGCTGGCCTCTAAGCCCTAACACAATACAGTCCATCAATACAGTAACAATCTTATATGTGTTCACCACACCTTCCTGCTACTTTTCCGCTAACCCCGGGATATCTAGCCCAAGCCTGTGTGTGGCAGTGGGCTCTAACTCGCTTGCTGGAGTCCCTCTCCACAGGGCTCCTGCCCGAACAATAAACCCTGTGCAGGTGTTTGAGCCGTCTCTCGACCTCTTCCATTTCTAACACGGGGACACTGAACTTTCCCACCACGGCTTGCGGCGGAGGAGGAGAAACTCCAGGTTTTGGATCCGGGTCCTTGTGAAAGCTGGGAACACTGCGCAAGCGCACTCTCGGAGGCGGCTGCGCGCGGTGTAATAGGGAGGGCGATGTTTCGCTACTGAGCAATTGGAAACCCGTGGGAGGCGGATGTGACCCGGAAGGACTTCCGGGTCAGGGTGCGCGTGTGAGGGTGCGTGTCCTGGTTGCTCGGGTAACGGGAGCGGGGGTCCGGCTGCGTCTGTTCCCAGTGGTCATTCTGTGTGAAGGACCCGGGTGGGGCAGCAGGGCCCACTAGGCGCCCTGTAGCCTCTGGTCCTCAGAGGTCAGCGCGTCGCGGACGACGCTCGGTCGCGGTCTGATGCGCCGGGCCGGACCGGACCGCGGGGGGCCTCGGGGGACCCTGCGAGCGACGACGGCGCTTCACCGGGTCCCGCGCCGTGCGGCCGTCACCGCGCGCCGGGGAAGCGCGGGCGGGATGGGGGCACCGGCGGCCGGGCGCCGAGGCGGGGAGCAGGCTCGCCATGCTGGCTGGTGGCGGGGACGGCCGTCGGAGGGGCGTGGCGTCCGGGCGCGTCTCCGCCCCGGGGCTTTCTGAAGAGTGGATTTATCGTTAAAATACGTATATATGCGTGCAAGTAATAGTCAAATGTCACCTTTGTACTCAGATAAAAATGTCTAGCCTAGGAGGACATCAAAGCAGTAGTAAAAGCCCTCTTTAGTATGTTTCAGATAAACTTTTTTAAAAAAATTTTTGGTGGTACTGGGGTTTGAACTCAGGACCTCATGCTTGCTAGGCAGGCACTCTGCCACTTGAGCCACGCCGCCAGCCCCAAATAAACTTTCGTAAATTTTTTTTATATTAAACATTAGACGTGTATGATGTCCTTAAAAGCAGACCAACAAGGAATGTGTGACTTCATAATGTTCTCTCTTTTATGTAATTTTACTTGGGGGGTGTGTTGCTGGCGTTGGAACTCAGCCTACACCTTGAGCCACTCCTCCAACTCTTTGCGTTGGGTATTTTCAAGATAGGGTCTCGTGAACTATTTCCTCTTGCTGGCTTCAAACCTCAAGTCTCTTGATCTCTGTCTCCTGAGTAGCTAGGATTACAGGCGTGAGCCACCAGCTCCCGGTTTTTGACAGCTGGTGCCATTTTTTTTTTTTAAGCAGCACTGGGGTTTGAATTCAGGGTCTCAGTCTTGCGAGACAGGCACGCTACCACTTGAGCCACTCCATCAGCCCCGTAATTTTACTTTGGTATTTTTACATCTGAACATGTCTTACTAACGCCAGCATTAATTCCTGTTCTTATAAATAGCTCCGCTGTATTGCCTGTGTCATGCTCGTCTGTTTAATGGATTTCATTTTTATGCTTCTAAAGAAATACCATGTAGAAGCTAGTAGCCATTTGACATTTTTAAGGTCATTTTTTTGTGTGTTTGCTATCTTGGCTCTCATTTTCTTTCTAATCTGTTGCAAGCACCCCCATTTCATTTTATTTCATGATCCTGGTGTCTAAACCAGATGACTTTACAGTGACAGCGGGGTGTGGGGACTTATAACTTTCTTTCTCTTAAGGCGTCTTCGGTAATGGGAAAACTTCATAGCTACTATTTATAGTATATATTTTAAATTTAAGTTGATGCTTTAGTAAATGCTAAGATTATAATGTGAAAAATTACCAAAAATAAGTTCTTAATATCACTTATGAGATTTTTTATGATTAATTAGCATTCAGTAGGGCCTCAGAATTAAAAAATTTTTTTGAGGTACTCACATAATGAGCACTGTGCTATTGCAGTGATCCTGATTTAGTTCTGGGTGTAAAGCTTTGATGTAGAGAAAGAAAAGTCTTTAGAGAAAGTTTACCAAAGTTTGTATACCAGAGGTACAAAGCTCAGTGATTATGGTAAACTAGAAAGTAAGAAATGCTTGTCATTTAGGATTGAACAGGTGCACAGAAACTACAACTTTAGTATGCAGAAGGGAAGAGGGAGAACCAGCAGAATCAGAAGGCGAAAACTCTTGAGAACTTCTGCATCAGGAGGAGGTATGGTACTGTTTTGTTTCTTTTGGTACCAGTGATGAAAAAAGAAAAATCCTTTGTTGATTGATGTCTGTTCATACACATAGCTTTTCTCAAAGGAACACGGACGGTGTTCAATCAGAATATTTCTAATGAGCACTCTTAATGGTGTTTCATGGTCTTTTAAACCCTATTGACAGGATGAATGTATTTAACTCATTGTGTCAGCTGTCTTCTTTGGGAATGACCCTCCGGTTTCTGTTTCTGATGATGACTTTTAGTTACCTGTAGGATGTTAATGTTTGGATATGAATTCTTCAGTTCTAATCCAGTATAGCCCATTCTGAATGAGATACAGTGTAGGTAATCAACCTATGAGAGGAAAGATGATTTTGGTTCACAGTTTTAGAGGTTTCAGTCCATGACAGGTTGACCCTGTTGCTTTTGGGCCTATAATAAGGAAGCATATCATTTTAGGGAGTGTGTGTTAGAGTATAGCAGTTCACCTCGTGGCCAGGACTTGATAGTGAGAGGGAGAGGCCAGGGTCTGTATTAGAATAGTTACTACAGCTTTCCTCTGGTCATATATAACATGTATCTCTTTCTGCCCTTTTACTTTCGATCTCTGTGTCTTTGAGACTAAAATGTCCCCTGTAGACTGGATATATTTGGTCTTGTTTTTTATCCAGTCTAGCAAACTTGCTATTTTTCTTTATCCATTGACATTTAATGGTGTTATTGATGTAATTGGATTTACATCTATTACTTCTCATTTTCTACACTTCTTGTATTTTTTCTTTAGCATTTTCTTTTGCTTTAAGTTAATATTTTTTAGTGTTATGTTTTAATTTCTTAATTGTCTTCTCATTATGATTTTTGAATTATTTCCTTAGTGGTAGTTCTAGGACTTACCTTGTATATCTCCACTTGCTTAGAATCTATTTTAGTTTAGGTGTTAGCTTGGGCTGCCATAAAAAATGCTATGGACGGGGTGGCTTAAGCAATATGAGTGTATTTCTCAGAGTAGTTGAGTGGAGGAAATCTAAGATGCAGGTGCTTGCTGATTTGGTTCCTGATGAGAGTAGGCTGTTATTCTGGCTTGCAGCCACTGCATTATTTCCAGTTTGTTTACATGGTGGGGAATCTCTGACTCTACCTTGTTTTTGGGGGTGGGTTGCTGAGTATTGAACCCATGGCCTCATACATGCTAAGCACCTGCTGTACCACTGGAGCTACACCCTCAGTCCTCTCTCTCTTATAAGATCTTTAAGCCTATCATGAAAGGTCTACCCTCATGAACTCTTGTAATCCTAGTTAACCTCCCTCATGATATCCAAATATCATGATATTAGGGATGAGGACTTTAACCTATGAACTTTAGGAGGGTACAGACATTCAATCTAAAAGTCTCTCTCTCTCTCTATATATATATGTGTGTACAAACAAATAGGTATGTACATATATATATATTTGTTCCCAGTAATATTTTGTAGATTTTTTTGTGGTATTGGGGATTGAGCTCAGGGTCTGGTCTACCACTTGAGTCATGCCCCAGTCCAAATTTTTTGATGTATAGGGTTTATATAGAATTACTTAGATCTATCTCTTTAAAATTTCACATTTTGACACTATTGCAAATGATAGTACTTTTTAACTTTGAATGTTTGGTCATATATTGCTAGTATATAAAAATACAATTGATTTTTAAATAATTGACTTTGTATCCTACAACCTTGATGAACTTATTTTAGTAGAAAATCCAATTTGATTTTCTAGATAGGTATCATGTCTTCTGCGAATAAAAATTTTTATTTCAGTTTGATCCCTCTTATTTATTTGTCTTGCAGTTTAGTACTGGCTAAACTGCTACTATATTGTTGAATAAAAGTGGGGAGACCACATATCTTTATCTTGTTCCTGATCTTAGGAGATGAGCATTCCACTTTTCACTATTAGTTTGTCAGTTCTGTATTTTTTATTTTCACACACACACACACACACACACACACACACTCTAGCTGAGGAATTTGTTCCTTTCTTAGTTTGCTAAGAATTTTATCATTCTGGATGCTGGATTTTGTCAAATGCTTTTCTGCATGTATTGAGATGATCATATGATTAATGGTTTTGATCTTTTAACTTATATTATTTGTATTTTCTATTAAAATTTATTCTCTTTTATGATGTGCCTGTCTGGTCCACTTCTTCAAACGTATACCTTTAAAATGGTGATCTGATGATACATTGATTTTCATCACCATGTGTTCTTTCCTTGCCTGATTAGTGAATGAGAGCCACAGGTCTGAATTTATAGAACTAAAGAAGTGGCTGAAAGAGAGGAAGTTTGAGGATAGAAACTTAACCCCTGCATATTTTCCAGGTAAGGGCTGGCATTCAGCTGTCCTGACCAGTCTCAGATCAGAGCCAGGTGGGAGGTAGGGGCAATTTCTGTGATGGACAGTGGTCTTTCTGCAAGTGCCTCTATTGCTGTGTGTTGGACTTCCTGCCTTGGGGATGAAGGAATTTGTACACTTTGCTGTACAAATAAATGAAAGTGATGAAATAAAATTAAATTTGATAAAGAAGATGGATCAAGCCATGAATAAGGGTAAAAGTTGAAAGATACACTTATATAATCTTACACATTTGTCAGAGGTAAGCTACAATTTGACTTTTATCTCAAAGAGCCCATAAAATTCATAGGACCAGTGAGCTGAATTTTAGTGTTATGTAAATTAAGTTGTCTACTCATCAGAAATGAGATTTCCCTACAGCCTCTATCTGAAGGAAATGCCTTCACTTGGTCTTCAATAGAAACACATTTATGTAGTATGGTGATTGGTGTCAACAACATCCCCGAGGTGGCTTCGTAGGGTTTCTCAAATCATGCAGGCTGATGGGATTATCCTAGGCTCCAGTGAGTCAGAATAGTTGGTTGAGAGCCACTCCAACCCACATGTTGAGGTGCTTGCTTTTTGGGATACTATGGCTTTAGGAGAGGAACCCTTAGGGAGGCCTCAGCAAACACTTCCTCATCTGGTTTTGCATCTGTGCCTTGCCTGTATCAGAGAAGGAGCTCTGTGAGTGGCCATTTAATCCCAGAACTAGAGGCTTCCACAGTCAGCTGAACTCAGGTAGATTAACATTTTCTTTTGGAAACTGAAGAGCTTACTGTGTATGGAGGTTAGATTGACATTTTCTTCCGAAACATTATGTGGCAGGAGTTGGTAAATTTGGTTGTGGTTGTGTGCTTCTGTATAATGCCACCCCGCTCTGCCCACACGTGGGCTGAAAGCAACCACAGAGTGGACCAAGATGATCTTCAAAATGACTTGGGATTTGTGTGGCACAGAGATAGTTGTTCAATTGCACCCTGAAGTTGTGTGTCACAGGGCAGCCTGCAGACATTTTGCCCAAAACTTTGAGCATATGCCACTGAATGATACCTCTTGCCATTACAGTGATCATTCAGGTTCCTGTTAGGTAATTTAACTTGGAACAAATGAACTTCTCTTATGTCTTCCTCAATAAATGATTTCTCATGTGTATCTCTGGCTGAGTGAGACAATGTGTATAGTTATTTCGTGTGAGTCAGTTATACATGGTGACTTTGGATTAATTGGTTGACTTGAGCTTTAGTAGCAGAGAGAGTAGCTTTCTAAAACAAAGTTTTATTGGTAATTGCAGAACATTGCAGTGCTGAGTAGTAGTGCTGTAGTGAATTGTGGGTATGTTCTGGAAGACAATGATTTTAAAGGTACAATAAGGAAGGCTACCTAAGTTGTTTTGAAACAATTATCCATGCCACCAGGATCAGTAACAAGGGCAGCATCAGCCCAAGGTTGAGGAGATGATTGCTGGGTAGGCATTCTCATGGAAGTATTTTTGTGTAAGGTGGTGGTTTGTGCAGCATATAATTTTGTGGTAGTTCCTGTTATAAGACAGTCAAGCACGAGACCCTGCCTTCATGGCCTTCTCTGGCTCCATTAATCAGGGTTTGACATAAGTGACTCCATTTTGTTCTGAAAACTTTTACAGAGCCATCTTCTATTATGACCTTTCCTGGTTTATGATTGTGATCATACTGTCAGCCACAAAGAGAATGCTTAACTTTGTGTTTTCATGTGTCAAAAATGATCAATAGAACCACTCTCCTAGGTTATACTGAATGGACATCTTTTTACCAGTTGATTAAGAGAAAATAGTGTCAATTTTGCTGCACCTAAGGCCTTTATGTTTCAACCTTAAAACTTACTTTGCTCTTGAAGAAGTATAAACCCACAAAGAAGTCAGGACACTTTCCAGAATAGCTTCCTGACCCTGCCTGTCCTGGAAATCAAAGGCTGTGAGATACCAGCTTCAAGTTTGTATGCTTTGGAAGTTCATTCATATGTTTTATTCAAAAGGTGCTCTTTAGGACCTTGAAGGTGTGGTAGGATTTACTGTTTCTCTGTTTGCTTTCCTAGGAACAGGAAGAGGGCTGATGAGCAAAACATCCCTGCGGGTGAGAACTTTTCTATCTTTGAAGCTCCATGTAGATTGTGGTGCTTTGCTTTTGTGGTGCAAATCAAGTGAATTAAGTGTACTTCACACATACAGGCATTTCTCTTATTCATCTTATTGGTATGTTTGGGATGGTATCAAGGAAGATTAAGTTTGCTGCATATAAAGAACACACATCTAAGCCACAGTGCTGGAAGAGCATGGAGTTTGTTTTGCTGTCATTTAAACAAATGTGGAGGGGTAAAATTGATCTGGTGGGGCACTCCATAGCTGTGAGAGGCCTGGCTCCTTCTAGGTCTGTCAGTTCCTATGCCTTCCTAAGTATCTTGGAGCTTGAGCAGCAGGAAGGATCTAAGGGGAGAGGAAAGGCAGACTTCCTCCCTTTTAGGAAGGTCCGGTCCCTATCTCTGTCAGCAGGAGACATGCATGGCCCACTAGCTGCAAGGGCAGGAGAGGTGCGCTGTTCTTTTCTTGTGCCCTCCCCTGGGACTCTCAGATCATATGTTACTGGGTCAAGGGAGCTGCTCTTGTCTGTGAGGCTGTGTGAAGTGTGGGAAAGAGTATGAGCAGGCGGGGGAGGAGGCCTCAGAGTCCACCTCAGGTTTGCTTCTCACTGTCTTTGGGACTCAGAGAGACACTCTAATCCTCACTTGGAAAATGAGGTGAATGACATAGATGATATCTAGGGTCCTTTTTAGTGATTTTCCTATGCTTTTTAAAATATTATCTAATGTACAATTTTCTCTAAAGTTAGTAATGTTTATTTTGAAATTGTTTAAATACTAAAGCAGATACCTTAAAAGCAACTGAGGCCAATAGGAGAAGGGGACCAGGAACTAGAGAAAAGGTTAGATGAAGAATAATTAACCTAGAAGGTAACGCACATGCACAGGAAATCAATGCGAGTCAACTCCCTGTATAGCTATCCTTATCTCAACCAGCAAAAACCCTTGTTCCTTCCTATTATTGCTTATACTCTCTCTACAACAAAATTAGAGATAAGGGCAAAATAGTTTCTGCCGGATATCGAGGGGGTGGGGGGGAGAGGGAGGGGGCCGGGTGGGTGGTAAGGGAGGGGGTGAGGGGGAGGGGAGTGAAATGACCCAAACATTGTATGCACATATGAATAAAAAAATTGTTTCAATATTAAACATAGATAAAGAATTACTATTTTTGTGCTGATTTTTGAGCCCAGGGTATCACCCATGCAAGCACATGCTGTACCACCAAGCTTTACTCCTAGCATCTAAGTTTATTCTTAATTCCTTAATTTGTTTAAATCTTCTCTGTTCATGTGGTTAGTGAAAGGGCTGTCACTTTTCAGTGTTGTAATTTTGTAATGTTATATTTTTATTACTTGAAATTTTTCATTTTGGTAAAATATATACAACTTAAAATTTACCATTTTAGCCGTTTTTAAGTGTATAGTTCCATGGTGTGCCTCATGTTGGTGTACAATATTTCTGTTTTTTGGAGAAGGTATAATTGAGTATATTTTGAAGCACATTTGGAAAACAGAAATACACAGCAGTATCTATAGCTTTGTTTAAATCAAATTATAATTGGCATATTTTTCACATGTTCTTCCAAATGTAGCTTTTTAATAAACTTTATTGAAAATAGAGATATATTTTGTATGTAGAGATATGCATAGATCTGAAGTAATTGTTTGATGTATTTTTTCCTAAAGAGGTATATCCCAATCAAGATATAGTGTGTTTTGCCAAATGGCTATTTTATTTTAATAAGACAGTCATGGGATGTCAGAGATGGAAGAGTCTCCTTAATGTTCCACCCAGCTTAATCTTGCTATTTACAGATTCAGAAACTAGAATTTGAAACCTGGTGATGTTTGACTAAAATTTTCTGTCCCATTAGGTGCCAGTTAAAATGAAAGCAGGATCTCACATCCTTCTTAGTGCTGTATTTGGTATCTATTACTGGTATAATACTGTTGTCTTGTGCCTATTTACATCTTAGTTTTTCTTTCTATGATTCCAACTCAGTAGGAGCAAGTGAAAGTTAACTTGTGCACACGGTAGAATTAGATCCTTACAATGGTGGGTCCATTGCCTGTTTTGAAGCCCAGGATAGGCCGCTGCCTGGTCACTGGATTTCACTGAATACACACACACACACACACACACACACACACACACACACACGTGACACACGCACACACGCACACATGCACATACACATTTTTTTTCTGAGACAGGGTCTCACAGTGTATCTCAGGTTGGTTTTGAACTTGTGATCCTCTTGCCTCAGCTTCCTGAGTGCTAAGAATATGTGTCTACCACCACCCCTGACATAAATGTTTTTTTGTTTTGTTTGTTTTTTGGTGGTATTGGGGTTTGAACTCAGGATCTTGTGCTTGCAAGGCACGTGTTTTACTACACGAACCATTCTCCAGCCCAACTAAAAGTTTTTTGAAGAGACAGTGTATGGCTGGTGCCGACCTCCTGGGCTCAACTCCCACCAGGACTGTAGAGGATGACACTGTAGTGCAGCTTCATGGGATAGAGTTTTTTTGGGTGATTTCTCTTGATAGCACTATTTCCTCATATAAGAAAGTGAAATAAACATGATTTGAGCAGTGAAAGGTTCCTACATTCCCTTCTGGTGCAAGGTTGACAGGTGGGCAACAGGACCTTTGCTTCCTGTTGTGGTTGCAGCACCTGGTGCTTCAGCAGCTTGGGCTGCGTCTGCTGACTGAGGGAATTGGCAGCAAGGCTGCTGATCAGCTCATTCGTGGATAGCATTTGGGTTATGGACGTTCTTGGTAGATGATGGTGGGATCAAGAGAGTTATGAAACTCACTCTCACAGGTCCTTGCCAAAGCATGAGCATCTTAAACTTTACTTTCTCTTTGTCCAGGAGGGACAGATGATTATTTCGTTGCCTGAGAGTTGCCTGCTTACCACGGACACAGTGATTCAAAGCTACTTAGGGCCGTACATTACAAAGTAAGTGATCATACCATGTGCATCTGGTGCCAGTGCCTCTCCTTGAAAGCCTCTGCCCTTGGCAAACATGTGGAACATGGCACAGTTTATAAGGATCCAGCCCTGTGTCTAGCTAAGAAATACCTGAAATGATAAGGTTTATTCTCTTCCAGGAAGTTTGTTCTTAATTCATTGCAAACTCATTTTTAAGGCTTTCAACTGGCTGCCTGTGATTTGGATGTGAGTCCTGAACCTCACTTGCTAGGGAATGAAGATGAAATGCCATACTATATGTAAATTACAGCTGAGTGTCTTGACTCACGGTAGCCTGTTTTCTTCTGTCATAGTAGGTCTTGGTGGTGGTATTCAGTTCTTTTAGTTTTACCATGTGGTACTTGCCTGAATTCTTCTTCAGCTGTTGGGGAAGTATGGTATCGTGAAAGAATTAGTTTTATTTAGGCAAAAAGAGGGCAGATGTGTTGAGACCTAGTTTCTGGCTTGTGTTGTGGTAGCCTTTGTTTTGGGGCACCCCTAATGAGAGTAAGATCCTTAGCAGAAGACATTTCCAAATTCTAAGGGTTGAATGATTATGCTGTTTCTGAACCCAGTGTAAGCTTTGTAATTCCTACCCCTTGGCAGCTTTATAGGCCTAAGTGGAAGCAAAGATGCTCTCAGGGTTATATTTTTTGAATTCTGAAATTTTGAGTAGAGTGTATGACAATGAGAAATGTTAATGATGAATTTTTCTGTGTATTTTTTGCCACATGGGATAATATTTTGGTAATTATTCAAAACAAAATTATGTAATATTCAGTTGAGCCCATAGGTTTAGGAATAAAAGCTTGAGAACTGCCACAAGTATGTAGTGAGCACATATAATTTCCAGCCCAGATTATTACTGGCTGGTAGAGCTTTCAGCCATGACAAAGATGTTTTGTTTTGCATTGTCAGTACTGTACGTAGTCAGTAGCCAGAAATGCCCATTGAGTAATTGGGATGTGGCTTGTGTTTCTAAAACATAGAATTTTAAGTATTATTTAATTGTAAATAGTTAAGGTTTAAATAACAACACATGCCCAGTGGTTAGTGTGTTAGATGGTGTAGCTCTAGGTCTTGCAGCAGTTTTTCCCACCATATTTTATACCCTTAGGAGGACAAACAAATGGGCTTATGGTAGAGGCTTTTAAACAGGAGAAACAAGTTGGAAGCAAAGATTTTTTTTGTAAAAAGGAATCCCTTATAAGCAATCATGGCAGTTGCATTAGTGAGTTAGCTTTTCTGACATGAATATGTGGCTTGTCACACCTGTATTGGGTTGGTTCCAGAGAAGAAAAGCTGTAGGAAGGGAGTAGCCCTTTGTGTACAGTAAGTAAACTTAGAGTGTGATGACAGTTTGAGCACAATCCCTTTGACAGCAAAAGAAAGCACTGAGCTTATTCTGCGCTTTAAATAAAAGTTATGTCTTCAATCTCTTCTCATTTTACAAGGTGGATGCCTCCTCCGTCTCCTCTGCTGGCTCTGTGTACCTTTTTGGTTTCAGAAAAGCATGCTGGGGACCAGTCTCTTTGGAAGCCTTACCTGGACATTTTACCCAAGTCATACACCTGCCCTGTCTGTTTGGAGCCAGAAGTGGTGGATGTTCTTCCCCAACCTTTAAAAGCAAAGGCCAAAGAGCAGAGAGCGCATGTGCAGGAGTTCTTTGCTTCCTCCAGAGACTTTTTCTCTTTCCTGCAGCCTCTGTTTGTGGAGGCCATTGACAGCATCTTCAGCTACAGTGCCTTCCTGTGGGCCTGGTGCACTGTCAACACCAGAGCTGTGTACCTGAGGCCCAGGTGGAGGGAATGCCTTTCAGCAGAGCCAGACACCTGTGCACTTGCTCCATACTTAGATCTGCTGAATCACAGCCCTCACATCCAGGTGAAAAGCTGGGGACACATGTTCTCCTTCCATAGGAAGATTCAGCACTTACAGTCTGGGACTTTGAATAGCGACCCATATGGAGGTGTTTAGCTAGGTCAAGTGAATTTGTTAGACCAACCTGCCTCCAGTCTACTCTGGTCTTTGTTTTGGACCCCAGGGTTATGCCCGTTGTCATTGCAGGCATAGTGTTCCTATGCTGTATCTCAGCTCAGCTCTCAAGGCTTGGAGAACACTGTGGTATTTCCCTGTGCTGAATCCATTTTTCCAGCAACCTTGCTGGGGGCTCCTACTTCTTCCAGCTACTCTCCTTTCCTGTTCCATCCTTTTTACACTTGCTGGCATAGCTATCAGAGTGTTTATCTTTGCTCTGATTAGTCATTGATATGCTCCTCCCTGACTAAGCTCTGATGTCTTTGAGGTTGGGGACATTGTCTTTTTCATCTTCATAACCCCAGAGCTCAGACCACAGCCTGGCCATGCTTGGTTTTCAATACATGTTTATTGAATGGAAATGTTTCAGAATGGTTGTGGAGAAAGGATCTGATAAATCATGAAGGAATTATGCTTTGAAAGAGAGTCACTGCTGTCCTCTTCCCATGTAGCTATCCATAGGCGATGAGTGTGTCTGCAGGGCATGCTGGGGTACAGGACTGGGTTGGGGGGGCAGAGAAGACTCCGTGTGACTACTCAACTATAACCCATTTGGGATACACTGGGATGGGACCAGTGCCTGTGCTGTCCCCATGCGTGACGTGCCACCCTGAGAAGATGGATGCCACCTTGTTTGTCTACATGATGTGAGAGAAGAGGTCAGCAAGGTCCTGCTTTGTCTCCTCCTACCTAGGACAATTGATCTGTGTGTAATGACTGTTACTTTTATAGACAGCCTGAATCACAGGAGCCTGAGGTTATTCGAGTGTTTCTGCAGTTGATGTTTCTGAATAAAGGCAGGGGTGTGTGGCACCATAAGATGCTGGACACAGACTCAGCACCCAGCAGCCTGACTTATTTTTATTAGGACTCTTGCTGTATTTATACTTGAAACCAGTGATTTTATAGATTTCTATAGGAAGACCACAAACTATAGCCTATGTGTGAGTGATCCAAGGGTCCTGAGCTGAGAACAGTTTTAGTAGTTTTTAAACATTGTCAAAACAAAACACTTGAAACAGTATTGGACTTGGGTATTGTAAAATGTTTATTTTTTGGCTCTTTATAGCTAAAGCTTGTTGGCACTACCCTGTCCTTTTCTCTAGTTAGTGCAAACCAACTCCTTAATCTCTGTTCTCTGAACCCAGGGCCTGGCTCCCTACCTCACCGATGGGGTGAGGTTGAGGTGAAGGGAACACACTCAAGTACAGAATAGCTTTTCCCCCATCTGTTGTTGAGTTCATTGCTGAGGGTTTGACAGCTATATCTCACCTAAGTTAATACTATAACCTAATTATTTTTAGTTTCAAACTGTAACGAAAACTGTCTTAACAATTTTCCATTGTAGGTAAAAGCAGCATTTAATAAGGAAACTGGCTGTTATGAAATCAGAGCAGCTTCACGTTGTAGAAAACATGAGCAGGTGTTCATCTGCTATGGCCCCCATGATAACCAGCGGTTGCTTCTGGAGTATGGCTTTGTTTCCCTCCATAATCCTCATGCCTGTGTGTATGTCTCAACAGGTTGGAATCACCTTTCTTCTCTTTGTGAATATGGTATAATTTTTTTCCTACATGGAGATGTGGTTATTTTCTGTTTTAATAAAAGTAGCAAAACCTTAAAACATACATGCATAACATTTATTTTATCTCAGGTAGAACTGACTTGGCTCTTACTGACTGTGTAATTTCAATGCAGAAGTGAGAACAGCAAAGCTTGATTGATATGGAGGGTAAGAAGACCTGAGAAGGGTTTTATTGAACTATATGAGGAAGCTAGACTGGAGGAAAAGGAAAACAGCTTTATACCTAGAGAATTAATAGAGGGGGGAGGTAAGAGAAATGCTTATATTGAGACATTGTCACTGGCACTGAATATAGGTTAGGATTACAGAGACATGAATAATGTATCTATTAAGTACCTACTGTGTTAAGACTCTGTATGAGCACGGAGATAAATCTATTATGTGATCCTCCTTTTTTGGAGTTTGATGCCGTAATGAAACTTTGATGTCAATCATGTTGTGTGATCTATTAAGTATCTTCACTGATACTACCAGTTTAAAGTAAAAATGTAGTCATTAAATTCATGGTGTGAAAATTCCAAATTGAGTACTAAAAACAATGCATAGAAGACTGATTCCCGCTCCCTGACCATAAAGCAGTAGAGAAGCAGTTTTGGAAGCCACAAAGAAATGGCTAGAGATTTCCCCACCAGAGGTATATGTGTAAGCACAAATGAATATAAAAACTTGGTCAAGGTGATACTACCCCATCCTGGAGGCAGAATAATAATCACAGTTCTAAGAATAAAAGTGAAAACTGGAGTTGGTAGAGAGTTTAAAAACTAGCTTTGAGATAGGCTTCATACTTTAGTATCCTGATCATTTTAGTATTGATAGCTTTGTAATACTAGTACTCAAATAAACTGGTTTGAACCAAGATTAGTTATTTGTGCATTTAAAAGATGGAGTAGGTCCTGGGGGTTTAACTAGGTGGTAGAGCAGTTGCCTAGTATGCCAAGTGTTGAAGTTGTCAATACTTCAAAAAGAAGAAGAAAGAAAGGAAAGAAAAATCCTTTCCTACCCTATTTCATATAACTATCAGTTTTTGCATATTCACTTTAATTTTTTTGTGATTACAAACATTAATGTTCAGACAGATTGGATTCTGGGTTTTAATACTATGTATTATAAACCCTTTCCCTCTTGTTTTTACAGAGCCTGTTATTTTGTGGATTATAGTTTTCCAACACTTGCTCTAATATTTTAATTACCTGGTTTTGCCAGTTCATTGACTTGGTGACAGCTTGAGCTGAACTTGGGGATGTTTTGTCCTCCAGACTTGGAATTTTGTAAGCTTTTCAGGGAGCGACTAATAATCTCAGAGAATTGGACTTGAAGAAGAGACTTCCGTTGTGTGAATTAAAAGAAACTGTTTAAACATGTCCTGATTATTCATGGGGAAGAAAGTGAGATGAGAAGGAAGAGGTGATTTATTCTGAATTGTACCCTTAATCTGTTTGATTTTGTTCTTCTTTTTTTAAATGTAGAAATGCTTGTTAAATATCTTCCACAAACAGATAAACAGATGAACAAAAAGATTTCCATTTTAAAGGATCATGGTTTTATAGAGTGAGTGTTTTTTTTTCCTCTTGAAATTTTTCCTGCAGAAGCTGGGGTTGGTGGCACATGCTTATAGCCTATAATCCAACTACTGAGGAGTCAGATGCAGGAGAATTAGGAGTTCAAGGCCAGCCCAGGCAAAAATTAGCCAGACCCTGTCTCCAATAGAAAATGCAAACAAAGGACTGAGGGTGTGGCTCAGTATTGCAAAAAAAAAAAAAGAAAATGGGTTAGGGTTTCCATAAGTCAGAGATACCTCCTGAGCACGTAAGTTCTGCTGACAGGTAAGAAAGCACTTACTGTGAGTAATAAAATTGTGCTCAGTATGTTTTGGAGCTTCAAGAAGTGTGAGACACTTTGAAGACATGTGTTTGGGAACATAAGATAGGAGCTTTATTTTAAATTACTGTGTCCAGAGAGAGCCCAGTATGTATTGATTGGAGGCCCAGAGTGAGTTTGTCTTCACTATCTGGTCACACGGGATGGCATTGGGGTATTGAAGGCTAGGCTGGCCCTTAGGTGAACCTGTCACCTGGCATCATGATATAGGGTCTTGGGTAGGTACAGGCTTTTGGGATTCCAGCCAAATGAGATAGACATAGCTCACGCTGTCCCTTACCTTTTTTTTTCTTTTCTGACTGAAATCAGGTTTTAAATAATCCAGCAACAGTGTGCGAGCAATCTGGGGTAGGAGTGCCCATTTGTTTGATCCCCAGAATACACAAATTCTTCCTAATTTACCTCACTGTGAATTATGTTTCATGTCCTCTTACTGTCATCTTCTCAACCAAGTCCAGCCTCTTACTGAAATTGGAAATAGTTTTTTACTTTAGAAAAAACAAACAGAATTTTGTATTACTTAGGCTTTATTCTTAAGTATTTGTAGAGGTATTTTTTTCTTCTCTGTTTGACAAAGATAGTAGGTTATGTAATGTTTTGTGGCATCAATTAAAAAAAGTTTCACCTTTCAGGCATTTGTGATGGTGTTATGAAATAATGAAATGACAGATTTGTCATTTTTGTTTTTTCTTCTTTAGAAATTTGACATTTGGATGGGATGGACCATCTTGGAGGCTACTCACAGCTCTTAAGTTGTTATGTCTGGAAACTGAAAAATTGTAAGTTCCACATGTGTTCATCTGAAGCTGTAGCAACAATCTGGACATAAGTTTGGGTGTGTTTTACTTCTATGTCCTGACCTTTTCTGGAATTCTGTTTGTAGGTTCATAATCAGGATATATGCTCTGGGAATTTTTCAGTCTCTACTCAGATTTTTTTCCCCTGGTGACCTGGTCCTTATTGTTCAGGGTAAATACCTTTTAAAAATGGGATCGTTGGCACTGTTCAGGGCATGTGTCTGAGTAGATAGGTTTTCCTAGGAGCAAGTAGAGCTCCTAAACCAGGTCCCTCTGGTCTTGTCCTGGGGCAGGTATAAAAGCCCTGCTGAAGGAGACCCCAGAACTTTCCAATGATAAAGCAGGTAGAAGAACCTCTAGAGTGGATGAATATTCAGGCCTCTTAATATTCTTGGTGAGCCATCAGTCCCCCTTTTCTGTGGCTGGCTGTTAGCACATATTGCTGTGGGTTCCTCCAGCCTGGCCCTGGTTAGGAGAGCAACCATCTTGCTGCTGTCCAGTATGGTAGAAGGACTTCCTTAAGATTGTGAGGCCCAGCCCCCATCATTGGGAGGATTAAATGAGGTAATGCTTAGAAGTAGCCCTGAGCACAGTGTGTGCAAGTAGTCTGGTGACTCAGTGATGTGTGTGTGTTGTTCATAATATGACTTACTTCTTTTACTGTAGGAACTTGGGAAGTAACAGTTTTCCCTGTTCTCAACAACAGAAATGCAGTTGGCTTTTGGATAATGTAGTTTTGTACTCTGTACGTGCACTGCTGGATTTTTTTTTGTCACAGTTTGAGAAAACGTGAAGATGAACCAAATAGTCTAGAAGTATTGAAAAATTTAAGAAAATATTAGGTGTATCATAAAGGCATAAAATATGTATAGATAGTAGTCTATTATTTGCCTTATAGCATATGCAAAATTTATTATAAAAATGTATAATTTATAAAAAGTTTTGCATACCCTTTCAGAAGGTCGATGCTACCATTCACAGTCAAGAGACATTAAACAAATATAAAGATAAGTATTACTTTACAACTAAAGGCTTAACTGTAGTACATAATGTACTGCTATAATAACTCTGTAGCCATCTTCTAAGATTCTTCTGAGAATTGTAGGTGCTTAAAATGCCAGGTAAGGCTGATTATCTCCCCCTGAGCCATTGTCTCTAGGAACCTGGGAAATGCAGTAAAAAGCATTTGCCCTGGCTCTCTTGTTTTTCACTGTGTTTCACATGTAACATGGAAAATATTTATTAATGAACTACACTGTTTATGTCAATCTCAAGGCTCCAAGTGGATAGGATATTGTTAGTCACTGAGTTTTTGGGGGAGTCAAAAGCTATGCTTAGATTTTCAACTGTATGGAGGGTTGGTCAGTGCCCCCCAATGCTGAGTTGTTCAGGGCTCAACTGTAGAAATGTTCACTCTCAGCAGATGAGTGTTTTGATCTTACAGACTTGTGAGTTCTGAAACAGATATGTGTCCTTCTTATCGTTCACTAGAAAACTCAGGCAAATTTGTGGTTCAAATGATCAGCATGTGACTCACACAGTCTTTCCTAGATGTGTCTAATCTTTTCTCCTCTCACTTTTCTTTGTCTTGGTCTCCCCATTTATTCATCTTACATTTCATTTTATTTTTTTTTTTTTGGATGGGTGGAATTGGGGTTTAAACTCAGGCCTTTGCACTTGCAAAGCAGGTGCTGTACCGCTTGATCCATACCTCCCGTTCATTTTTTCTCTGTGGTTATTTTTGGAGATGGTAGCTCTTGAACTATATGCCCTAGCTGGCTTCAGAACTGCAATCCTCCTAATCTCAGCCTCCTAAGTAGCCAGAATTAGAGAGATGAGCCATTGGCACCTGGCTCATTTTATTTTGTATGGACCCATGCAGGCATCTTTACATCCCTGTGGGAACAAGGTGTGTTTGAGTCCTTTTCAAGCACTCCAGTCTAAAATTAAGTAAAGCAGCTCGTTGTTTCTCAGAGGTTATCCCTAGGGCTCTTTCTTCCCTTTGAGCCACGTCTAACTGTGTGAGTGGTGGCAGGAACAGCCTGAGGTTGGGATTCTGCTGATAGTTGTTTGCATGCCATTTCTCCCTCATTAGCTTTGTCTCTCAGGCTGAGGTCTCCAACTTTCCCCGTTCTCATTTTCTTTGAGTCTAACGTGGGGATAGCAATGCTTTCGCTGTGAGTAATTGTGAAGATTAAATTAGATAATGGTTGTGAGTGAAACACTGTGCCAGCCACATGGTAATGTTCTGCTTTCTTTCATGAGAGCTAATCTGTTCCTGAGGTTTCATTCATGTCTCTGACCCTGAAGTCTTTTTAAGTCTGTTCTCTATTGTGTCCTGCCAGATGTTGGGAATTCTTGACTGGCTTGTGTTTACTTCCACTCCTGTGTTGCAGTGGCAATCTTACCTTCTCTTCTGTGGCCCTCCTTCTTTCTGGCTCAGAGTCCTGCTTTGGCTCCCTGGTGTCTTTTCTAACACATCTACACTCTTCTACCTACAAAAAGTGGCCTCACCTGACACTGGAGTTCCACATATCCTCCCAAGCTGGATGGTGTAGAAGTGGAGTGAGCTCATGTAGAGAGAGGCTTAGACTGTCAGCTCCTCCTTTCTTATGTAAAGCATTTTTCTTGTGAAATGTGTTCCAGGTTGTCACTTTTATTTATTTATTTGTTTTTTGGTGGTGGTGGGGTTTGAAGTCTGGGCTTGAGCCACACCACCATCCAGGTTGCCGTCTTTTAGGAAAGATTGTCATCTGAAGTGAAGGAAACTCCGGTGCCTGAGCTGCTGGTGCCTCTGGCGTGGGCTTTGTGCCTGTCTCTTCCTTCCTCTTTTGCTTTATTCCCCTGGCTGCCAGGTTTGACTCCAGTTACAGGCTTGCAATGACAATAAAACTCATTTCACTGCAAAGAGTAATCAATTCCCTTTTTTTTTTAATTGAGTTAACTCCTATATTCCTTGTTGCTTCCACGTAGGAGCAGCAAATGCTATGGAAGTTTTAGGGAGTCTGCTTGTGGAATGAGTTCATTGTACTTCTGGAATAATAGAGGAGTTTGTGTCTGTAGTCTTTGTTTTTCAAGAGTCTGCAGACATTCTGGATCTTATTGGATGTTTTGGTTCTAGTATGTGCTGGAAGAGAGTACTTCTTGGAGAAGTAATTTCAGATACAAATGAGAAGACAAGTTTGGACCTAGCCCAGAAAATATGCAATTATTTCATAGAGGAGACTTCTGCTGTGCTTCAAAAGGTTTGTTTCTAGAATATTACATCTTTTTCTATGAAGTTCCTTTATGTGTTGTTAGGGGTAATGCAGTTATGAGTACTATTTAGTAACTTAATAAATGATGTTGTTGTAATCTATCACTAACTGTCTTGAAATACCTACACCTTTAAAGGTTTCTTCTTTTTACTTATAAGTGAAAATAGTGTATGTTTATTGCGTACATTGTAATGTGTTGCTATATGTATGTATATACATATAGATGTCGTGGAATGGTTTAGCTATCATATGCATTACCTCTTATACTTTATTTTTGTTGTGAGAACCTTTCAAATCTACTTAGCAATTTTTAAGTGTATATTATGCATATTGTTATTTACTGTAGTCATCATGGTATAATAGATCTCTTGAACTTGTTCTTCCTTGTGTCATTTGGACAACATCTCCCTAATCCCTTCTCCGTCCCCAGTTCTGGTAGCACCATTCTGTGCTCTGTTTTTATGAGTTCAACTTTTTTACACTCCATATATCAATGAGTACATGTAATTTTTTTACTTTCTGTGCCCATTTTATATCATTTAACATAAGGTACTCCAGGTTCATCCGTGTTGTCACAAGTGATAGGCTCTCCCTACTTCCCCTGCCTCTGTTTTATGGTACTGGGAATAGAACCCAGAGCCTCACACTCAGTCCTTCTTTTTTGGTTTTTGAAGACTGGTTCACTGTGTATGTATACCACATTTTCTTTATCAATTCACCTATTTTTGGATAATTTGATTGATTTCATATCTTCATCTTTAAACAGGTAAAAATTATTGCATGATTTCTTAGTAATAACTTTTCAAGTATTTTTTTCACTTTTATGCTTTAATTTAGTAAATGTTGTAATTAAATCAGAAATCAGCTCATTTATATGAAAACATGAGTGAGATTAAACTAAGTGATTTTAATGAACCTTGAAGACATTGTGTTAAATGAAATAGGACAGACACAAAAGCACAAATTTTATACAGGTCCATTTTTATAAGGCACCAGAACAGGCGTACTCATACAGACAGAGAGCAGAGTACAGGTTCTTAGGAGATTGGGGGCAGGAGAATAGGGCTATTAGTTAATTAGTTACAAATTTGTTTGGGGTGATAAAAAAATTTTTGGAGCTAAATAGTGATGGTTATACAGCAGCTTGAATGTACTTAGAGCCACTGAACTGTATACCTAAAAATGGCTAAAGTATGTTTAACTACATTAAAAATAATTTAAAAATACCTTCCAGGTTTCTGATATGAAGAAAGAAAAAGTCTCTTTGATAAATCAACTCATTTTGGTGGAGACATTGTGGATGGAAGAGCTGAAAATTCTCCAGACCTCTGCTGAGATCCTAAACAGTTTGCAAACCCCTTTTCCCTGACTTCACTGGGATGCATTTGACCACCTCCTATGGTGTGTGACTTATGCATTTATTTATGCATTATTGGGATTTGAACTCAGTGATTTGAACTTAGCCTTGTTAAGCAGGCTCTCTATCGCTTGAGCCATGCCTCTAGCCCTTTTTGCTCTGGTTATTTAGAGATATAGTCTCCTTTTTTGCTGAGGCTGGCCTGGAACTGTTATTCACTTGATCTTAGCCTCCTGTGCAGCTTGGGATGACAGGCATGTGCCATTGTGCCCAGTTAGTGGTTGAGATGGCGTTTTGCAAACTTTTTGTTTGTGGTTAGCCTGGAACCACAGTCCTCCCATCCATCCCTTCCCAAGTAGGTAGGATTACCGGTGTGAGCCTGGCTAATTTAAGCATTTTTGATCTAAGGTCAGTTTAAACTGATTAAATGATTTATATAGAATCATTTCAGTTGTTGATTGGTTTCTGTTAAGCAACTATGTACTTAATGCTTTCATTTTGCTTTTTCTACAAATACTGAACTTTTAAGTGTCTTCATGGGACAGAGTGTTGGTTGCTTCCAGGACAGGGAAGAATATTTGCAAGGGGCGCCGGTGGAATGGCTTAAGTGGTAGAGTGCCTGCCTAGCAAGCATGAGGCTCTGAGTTCAAACTCCAGTGCCACTCAAAAAAAAAAAAAAAGTAGTAAAATGCACAAAGAATGTAGGGGGCAGCCGAGTTTCTGGGAATTAGGGAGCTGTGAGTGAAGACTCATGGACCATCTGAGTGGCACTTCTCATACTTTACAAAATAAATAACAGTTGGGAAGGAAGTAGAAGGGAAGTACTGAACTGTGGGAGAGAGGGAGGCTGTGAAGGAGCCGTAACCAGCCTGGACTCCTCTGGTCTGCTTCACTCCATGCTTTTCTTCTTATATTACTTAGCAACTGTTAAAAAGGGAGAAGTTCTTTTAAGATGCTCTGATACCATGGGGTTAAAGGACAAGTTTGCCACAGGTGACTTTGGTGGTGGTGTGGGGGATCGTGAGGCAATTCTGGGCTCTAACTGGGTTGCTCAGGCTTTCCCTGTGTGGATGCGCTGAGGTGGGTGTTGAGGAGCCTTTTGGCTGTGCCCTTGGGGTCTTCAGGAGGACAGAAATTCCCTAGTCCTGCTCATGGCCTCTTGTATGCCAAAGCAGGGCTTGCTAATGATTAATTAGTAGTCACAAAGATTGACTTAGTCATATCATTCTTTCAGCTTTGTTCTCACATCTTTCCTGGGCAGGACTTTCCACTCAGGAGCCCATCTTGTACGACAATGCTTCAGTGGGTATGTCTGCTGGATTCTGGGGACAGTGTAGGACAATTAAAGCTACTTCGCAACCTAAAGCAATTATAACACTTTGGTCTGTATCTTTTGGTTTATTTTCTTCTTTCTCAGACACAGGGTACAGAAAAGGGGGCATACCTTTCAGAATGCTTGAGCACTCTGTGGCCTGGGGGACTCCCCCACCCCAAAGTAAGTAATGGGGTTAAGACTCAAAGAGATTTGGGAGTGGCTTGTTCAGGGATGCCCTGTGCAGACCCTGCTGCTCCCCAGAATCTTTCTCCTTTCCTTCTTGTGTTCCTTCCTTCCCAGAGCTCCAATTCCTTTCTCATTGGGAGCTCAATAAAATCAAGTGAATGGCTTCCACTTTGGATTGGGGGCAGAGTTTAAATCAGTATGATTTCTTGAGCATCTTTTCTCATTTATATATATATATATAGTTTATGTTGGTTTTGTTTTTTTAGTAGTGTAACTGGAAGTCAGGAAACTCTTTCTGTAGAGAGCCAAATAGTAAATATTTTAAGCTTCCTGGATCATGTGGTCTTTGTCAAAGCAACCTGTGCAATAGAGAAGCAAATCACATTGCTTTTCCAATAAAACTTTATTTATAAAGATAAGTGGTAGACCATCATTTGTTATCTCCTGTGCTATTCCAGAATTTCTTTGTCTTGTCTTCTACTAAGAGACCTTTAAGACCGAAATGTGTTAATTCCTTTACACCTTTCAAAGTGAAAGTTCCTTGAACATCGAAAACTTCACAGACATCCCATGATAATTGTGGGTTTACTTATCCAGTGCTTAGAAAAAATACAGTGACAAAAAGCAGCAATTCAGACACATTTACAAATGTTTATTATTTTATCATCTATGACTCATCTACATTTTTTGAAGAATGGTAATATATGCCTCTCATTTAGACAATTCTTGGTATATACATGACATCATAGACCCCCGGCAAGAAATCTGACTCCTGGTAGGCCAGTCTGTTGGTTCCAAGGTAAAATCATTGTGTCCAGGCAAGCCCTGTCTTCTTGATGTTATCTTATAAAACCACAATCAAGGTTCCTATGTCATTCCCCACATAGGGAGGACCAGTGCTCTTTTACCCAGTGGCACTATTTTCCACTTTTATTTTTGAGTGACCACCACCCTCCGCAAGCATTCCTAAGACATAATTTTTCTTTCTTTTTGTTTTTTTCTTTGCTGGTGCCTTAGGTATACCCGAGGTTTTCAAGCTTTGTCACTCCTGTGGGTATCTGGTTATTGAGTTTGTGGGTGGTAAACTTCCAACTGCTGAGTTAGCCTGCAGGGACAGACACCAAAAAGTTCAGGATGATTTGAAACATTCTTCTGTAATCCTTCAAGCTATAAACAACAGAGGTCTTTCTCCGACTGGGGCCTTTAAGTGCTTCTGCCTGAAGGCAAAAACTGGCAGTGACCTTTTAGAAACATGAGCTGCAGTTCCCTGGAAGTGGTTTCTCACTGAAGCACCTGGATACCACCTTCAGAAGCCATCAAGGAACAGAAGTTGGGAATTTACTTTAACTCCTCAGCTGGTAAACAGCTGTATCCTGTGTGACAGATTAATTTTGGGAGGCAGATTTTGTCCTGAGGTTGGAAGTATAACAGGTCAAGTGTTGATATGTTGGCTGACAGTTGAACATTGGAAGTTTGTCAGGAATGCCACATGGGGATCACTTGGAAAAGAACTTCCTTTAAAGACTTAGAAAGACACATGTGACCTGAAGGGAATAAGAATGTTAGGAGGAACTGGGTGAGTGGCTCGTGCCTGTCTTCCCAAGCTTCACATGAGGCTGAGATCAGGAGGATCCTTGTTCCAGGCCAGCCTGGGTAAAACAGTTTGTGAGACCCCATCTCCACAGAAACAAGCTGGGTGTGGTGGCCCATACCTGTCAGCCCAGCTATGGCAGGAAGCTTATAATGGGATGATCGTGGTCCAGGCCTTTGCAATGAGGGAGACCCTATCTCCAGAATAACCAGAGCAAAAAGAATTGGAAGCATGGCTCAAGCAGTAGAGCACCTGCCTAGCAAGCAGCAGTCTCTGAGCTCAAACTACAGTGTTGAGAAAAAAAAAAAGTGCTTTATGCACTTTTCTACAGTTTTGTTAGTGTCCCCCACACAATATTATAATGCCACTGTCCTCCATGGACAGTGTCCCACACATACCAGACCCCAGCATACCATACACAGCATGCCAGTGCCATCCTGATGCTGATCTTATGGTTCACAGGACATTTCTCTGTCTTTTTCTGTAACTTTAATATTTGCTATAACCTTAATTCCCTTCTGTTTTGTGTCATTTTAAAACATTGGACTGTAAGTTAAAAAACAAAAAAACCTGATCACAGAATAGTAGAATTTATGTAGCAAAAATGTTAAGATGACCACTTTGTGTCCACAAAGGATGGCTGTAATCAAAAGAGTAGATGATAAGTGTTGTCCAGGGCGTGGAGAAATTAGAGCCCTCGTACACCGATGTAACCAGTAGGATGTAAAATGATGCATCTGCGTTGGGCAGTTGGGCAGTTCTTCTAAAGGATAAACAGGGCTACCTTGTTGACCCAGTATTGCCACTTGATGTGTATTTCTTAGCTTGTGTATACCCAAGAAATTGAATTGAAAAAATATCTACATAAAAACTGTTCACAAATGTTCACAAGCAGCATTATTCATAAAAGTTAAAAGCCCCAATGTCCATTGGATGATTGGATAAGCAAGATGTGTTGTATCCATAAAGTACAATGTTACTCAGCCACAGAAAAGACTGAAGTACTGATACATGCTACAAGAAGGGTGAACCTTAGATGTATGCCAAATGAAAAATCTCATCACCGAAGATCATGTATAATTTCTTTTCTATGAAATGTCCAGCTGAGGTGCATCTCCAGAGATAGAAGTATGTTAGTGCTTGCATAGGACTAGGGGGAGAGGTAATGATGTAGCAAATGGAGGTTGATAGATAAAGAGTACAGGGTTTCTGAAAATGTTGAAAATGTTCTAAAATGTACAGTAGTGAAGGTTGTGCATCCCTGAAACTACTAAAATCTGTAAATTGTGCACTTGATGAGTTTTATGGTACATAAATTGTATCTCAGTAAAACTTTATTAAAAGTAAGGCTGGTACTAATTGAAATTGATATCCCTTTTGTCACATTTAGGATGGTTTGGGAAGGTTCAGTTTGTCACTCTGGCGATCATGGTGAAATCCTAGCAATGTTAGGTCCATGTTCCAATGTTGCAGTAATCACCTTGTTAGGCCTCATGATGGTTGAGGCAGTTTCTTCCTGATTTTAAAAAACATTTTTATTAGCATATAATATATTGTACAAAGTAATAGGTTTCATTGTGACATTTTCATACATGCATATAATGTTCTTTGGTCCTATTAACCCTCCATTACCCACTCTTACTCCCTCTTTATTCTCCTGATTTTCTAAATGTGGAAATAAGCATTCAGAGAGGTAAAGTTATTGCTGATGTCAGCAGCTGAATGGCGGAGTTAGGATTCCAATTTCATGCTCTTGGTGTCACACTCCAAAGACAGAACTTGGGCTTAGGACGCCACCTAACCACTGTATAAAATCAAAGTGTGGCAGGATTGGCCAGCTTGAGGAGAAACTTTAGAGGGCTGTGATGGTTACAGATGGGCATTTTGAAGTGCTTTCCTGTTTGCATACTCTTGGCCTACTTTGGATAAGCAGAGACTCAAAAATGACCACCTTTTTGGGGGAGAGAGAAAGAATTGTTACATTTTCTAGAAATGGAAAACAAACTGAGAGCAGGGAATCATGTGCCTAGAATACGCTGATAAGTGCAGAGCTACATGTACTGGGGGTGAGGTTCCCCTTTCAGGCAGCTGGAGCCTTTATTGTGGTTATGTCCTCCCATCAGAAATAGCCAGGTTACAGGAGCCTAGGTAGGCCCATAGAATCAGAATCTCTGGTTCAGGATGGTGGAGTTCCAAGTTGCTCCCAAGCTAAATTTGCAAACCACTGATGTGGAGATTCCAAAGGAGGACCCCCCCCCCAGTTTTTCAGTAAGTACTTTTGTGAGCTCTTGATATGTAGCAAACTTGATCTTAGTTTGATTGTGTGATCTGACCTGAGAGGTATCATGTGAATCCTGAAGCCGATTCTCTCAGTACATTTGGCATCAGAAGATTGGGGTTAAAGGGGTTCTTGAAATGATCTACTGCCCTGAGAGGTGGAGAAATATGCTTATGGATTAATAATCGGAACCCATTATTTTTTGCCAGCCCCAATGATCTTTCCCCTCTTCTGCATCCTCCTTCCAGACTGTACGATCCAGATACCCTCCTGAAGGAGCTCCCCAAATGATAGAATCATGCTCCACATGATAAAACTGAGCTCAGAATGCAGAAATGTTTGGTGAGAGTTCAAGTTTGTGGTTTGTCACTGATGCCTCTTTCTGCCTTGGAAGACGTGGTACAGGATGGGCACCACCATCTTAAAGCAGTTTGCTTTGTTGTGTTTTTGCAGTGTAACAAGCAACTTTACTGACCTGTCTGTGAACGCCAGTGTGAAGGGATTGAGCTCAGAGAGCTGGGCTGTAGGGAAAAGAAAGGCCAGCTCCAAAGTCTGTGTGGGCTAAGCTCTGTCCTTGCAGCCCCACTTGAATGGCACCATGTCACTTTTACAGCCCCATCCTCATCCGAGACTAGCCACATCTCATAAATCAGGGAACCGAGAAGGGGTAAGTGACCCTGAAAGGCACTTGTTCTGGGGAGGGGATATCCTGTTCACTTAGATGTCCCTTCCTATTTAGGCCCATATGGCAATTAGCATTTGAGAGCTTTCTCCTGGTGCCAGGGAAACTGTTCAGAGCTTGAATATTCTCTCCAATTTAGACTCAGAAGATAAGTTAAAGGCCAGGACTGCCTGGAGCCTACTCAGCAATTTTTGGGACAGTAAATTCCACTTCAACCTTGTCCCTGTAAAAAAGGGAGAATTTAAGCTGCTTTACAATAAAATGGAATTCACAAGGTCACTGGGGAAGCAGATCAAGCCCAAGGGGAGTGTTCAGGGCCAGCAGCATAGAAGGTGGCTTCTTGTGTTGGTCAGAGACCTGTATTACTGAGTATCTTTGCTTCTAAGCCTTAGCTGTACATTGGAATCACATGTGGAATTTTGAAATCTCCTAGGCCCGAGGCCCTTCCCCTATGGGTCTGACTTAATTGGTTTGGGGTGTGTCAGGGCATGGGAAGTCGGGGGGGGGGGGGGGGGAGTTAAAGCTCCCCAGGTGACTGCTGTTTGAGTCTCCCTCTCCCAGCCTCTGAGATGCTGCCCTAACTTTTCCCAACTGGAACATTAAGGCGTCAAAAGCCTTCAAGTACAATAGTTTTGGAAATCAGGATTGAAAATGTCCATTGACCTATACTATGCAAATTCATATTGCATAAATAATCTTTATATAGTATTAATTGGTGTTGTATACAGACAAATCCAGATGCATTACTTATTTCAGTAAATGCAGTTAAATATAAGTGCCCAGGCCACAGCAGGTGATCAATACATTTTAGTTCTTTTCATGGTTCTCCTTTAAAACAAACCACACTGTAGTATTTTAGTTGATGTCTAGTATCAGGTGATCTCCTGGACTCCATTCTATAGGACTTTGCTGTGTCCTTGGGCTACTTTCATCTTTGTACACTAGGTGGCATGAGAGGACCACTGAGCAGATTTGGGTATTGCAGCTTCATGAACTAGGGCAACAAGTTGTTTTTTTCAAATACTAGGAGGATCCCAACAAGGTCAAAGCAGCTTCATGTTGGTGTAAGATGCAGATGTTCATATTTTCTTTTGGGAAGTTGCATCTCCTTGCGTGAGAGATAGGCGGATAAACATTAGTTCGAGGCGATAACTGCTGAGAAAGGGGCCACCCCAGGTGAGGCAGGGGTGGCTTGGTGGTCATGGCAGAGGAGTAACAGACAATGAGACTCAGGGCCCACCCTGCTTGCCTACAGACAAGACATAAGTAAATGGATATATTTAGCACTTTTGAGAAGGGAAGAGCTTCTCATACCAGGTAGCAGATTTTAACTTCTATCATAGCTATCTGTTAAAGATAGCTAAGATAGCAGGTAAACAAAAAGAGGAAGAGTAGGTTTTAAGGAGTTAAAATTGACCACCCACACAAAGTCCCACAACACATAGCTCCTCATCTGCCAGATGTTTCTAGAATATGAAAGGAGCATTTTATGGATGACTGGAAAGAATCCATTTCTGCTGACAGGTGGGAGGGCTGGCCCAGCCATTTTTAGATGTACGGGTTTGATCTGAGGACAGAGCTTCAAGGTGGAGAGAACAATCCTCAGGGTGCCCTTGGCTCCTCAGTCCAAAGGCAGCTGACAGACTGCAGACCCCAGTGTGGGCTGACTTGGAACCACATCACACTGACTTTACACTGGTGGCCTCATTTGAAGTGATTCCTTTGGTTTGCTGGACTTTTTCAGGCCTTGGTTACCTGTTTTTATATCTTGATGAATTGAACTTGCAGACCAGGAAGCTCCTATCATTGTTTCTCCCCCCTGTCCCTCTCCTACCCCTTGCTATCTTACTCAGTCTGGCTTTGTCTGGAGTGCAAGTTTGTTTTCTGTTTGGCACGTTGATCTGCAGAGGGCTAGCAACAGCACTGGATGAGGCCCTTTCACAATGTTGAAATTTTGTTTTGATTTTTAATTGGGATAGTCGAAAAAACTATAAATTACTATTTATCTGATTGGAGTCGCCTTACTGATGATATGTTATGTGTTTGTGATTCAGATATTGCTTAAGAGCATTCAGGTTAGAATAACAAGTGTTTTTTAATTGCTGTGGTTCAACTTTCAGAGCAGGTATCAATCACGTAGCCTGAGTTGGGGACTGTGGCTAACCTGGATACAACCACTGGCAGGAATTTTTCAAGACAGGAATGTTCTGTCTGTACTTGGAGGCAGTTTTTCTGATACCAGTAGGAACAAAATACTGGTAGTAGTAAGTGCTAAGGCTCTGTCTTCTGTTGTAGTTTATTAGAAGAGGCCTCTGCTGCCAGAAGTGTTTCCAGGAAGCACAGTGAGCATGTTCAGCATCTTTTATTGGGGTTGGTTGCTTCAGAGATCCATTCCTCAAAGAGTACTCTGCAGACAACAACAGGAGCTGCGTTTGGAGGCAGCTAGAAAGCAGAATCTTAGCTGGGCAACCGTGGTTTCCGCCTATAGTCCTAGCTACTTGGGAGATGAGATCAGGAGGATCACAGTTCATGACCAGCCCAGACAAAAATGTTTGCAAGACCCCATCTCAATGGAAAAAAGCTGGGCATGGTGGTGTGTGCCTGTCATCCCAACAACAACAGGAAGCATAAAATAGGAGAATGGTGGTCCAGGCTGGCCTGGGCAAAAAGTGAGACCCTATCTCCAAAATAACCAGAACAAAAAGGGCTGGAGGCGTGGCTCAATCTATAGAGGACCTGCTTAGCAAGACTGAATCTTGAGTTCAAAACCTGCACTATCACCAAAAAAAAAAAAATCAGGCTCTCTCCCCACCCACCAAATCAAGAGTCTGCATTAGACAACCTGCCATGCTCACTGCCCAGGCAAGCTAGACTGTGGTTGGCTCCAGGGAGAGAGGCAGTTTGGCAGTGCATTATAGTTGGCCTTCTATTTCCATGAGTTCCAAATCTGCAGATTCAACTAACCTTAGATGGAAAACAACTTAAAAAATATTGCATCTGTGTTGAACAGGTACAGGCTTTTATCTTGTTGTTATCCCCTAGAGAATATGATATAACAACTACTTCCATAGTGCCAGGTATTACAAGTAATCTAGAGCTGATTTACAGTGTACGGGAGAATGTGCATAGGTTATTTGCAAATGCTATACCATTTTAACTAAGGGACTTGAGCATCCATGGAGTTTTGGCATTGCAGGGGGTCCTGGAGCCAACCTCCTATGGATGGCAAGGGACAACTATACCAGTCTCCTAGGCCAGTCAGTGTGACATCAGAATCCGTTCACCTTTGACACAAGGTACATTGAAGGCAGCTTCTCTAAAGAGAATGAACCAGGCCTGGACTCTGGTCAGAGGATTCATGAGGCCAGATAGCTGATTAATGACTGTGCTTTTGCCCTTTTCACTTAGGGGTGTGACTGTTCTCAAAGACCTCTGGCAGTGCTAGGTGAGGCAGTGGGACCGTCACCCACACCGCATGCTGGGAGCCCCTGGGCAGTTGGGCTGTGGACCCCCATTCTGCGTATCACACATTTACAAGTTTTGCATACACTGGGGAGAAATAGATCCCCATGCAGCAGAGTGGTTCTGAAGCTACAGCCGTTGTGGGTACTTGTTTTACCATGACTGGAAGGTTTCAGGGCTCTCAGTCCTGGGCCATAGTGTTTATGTAACAATCTCAGGGAACTGTAGCTGCAGAGTCCTCAACAGCTACACTACTCTCCTGATAGATGAGAAAAGACCAGCTCAGCCAGTCAGTGGGCAAAGTCTGTTCCTTGCTATGGCCGCCAGCTGGAAGGAGACAGACCTGATGTGAGTCCTGGTGTGTGGGACCCATTTAAGGGCTGCTCTCTGATTCCTTGCAGCACCAAAGTCAAGTTTCATCAGAGTCTCAAAGAGCAGGACAGGGAAGGAAGGATGTTGGAAAGGGCAGTGGTGGGAAACTGACTTTGTCTTTGCTTTGTCTTAGGCACTGTGGGTTCTGGGGCAGAAGATCTCAGAAAAGGAGGGAACTTTGGGAAAGCTTGGGTGCAGGGTGGACTAGACAAGTGCACTTTTGAGCTCAGGCTGGGCTGGGCTTTCTCTTTCTTGTGGCTTTGGTTCCTGCAGCTGCAGCTGGTTCTAACATGCCCACGGCTCACATATCGAGGCAAGTGGAGCTGCTGGCAGCTGTGGGCGTGCTGGCTGGGCCCATCTCATAGCATTGTTTTCACCCATTAGCTTATGTCAGGCAGAATGATGGCGAACAGGGTCTGGTGTCCCTTCCTTTGTTTATATACATTTTTTTCCTTGGCCAGGGGGAAGAAAGAGCTGACTCCCTTTTAAGGGACATGAAAACTGTCAAACAAGTCACCTTAGAACTCCAGATCACATGGGGTCCATCACTGGCAGGAAGCAGAGCCTTCCCTGGTGATTGTGTAACGTACAGTAAGTTCTCACCAGACCAAAAAAAATCCCTTTTATCATGTTCTGTTTTTTTTTTTTTCCTCCCACTGTTTTATTTCACTTACAACATCACTCACGCCCAAATGGTATTTGTCAGGAGTAACTGGCCAACCTTGGAGGCTGTGTTCAAGGCTGCTTCAGTGGAAAGTCTCAAAGTTGTCCATGTTGAAAGAAAATAATTACATTTGATCTTTTAAAAAATGATTTCTGCAGACATGATGTGTGTTTGCATTCTTTAGCCTTCTAACCCCTTTCTATTTAGGAAAAAAGTGCATACAGGAAGTAGAAATTCACAGTTAAGGTACAGTATACCCGAGAAGTAACCGTAGCACATGAAAAGTCATTTTAAAAATATGATCATGATTTATTTTTCTTAATAAACATGCACAGGTTTTCAGGTTGTTCTATGTTGAATTATGACTTCAAGCTTCATATTTCATGTGCATTTCTATAAGGATGTTTATTCTTCTGGATGGAAATATGACTCAAAATGGCAGCAACCATGCATGAGATGGTGTAATGCCTTCTCCTGCTCTTCTGCTGCAGAACATCAGAATATCATGGATCCAGCAAAGTGGTCTCATCTGATTAAACAGGCCTAAAGAGCTGAAGTGATGTGACTAGGCCATGCGGGGAGCAGGAACTGAACCTCCTATGCCAGTGGCTTTCACGCTGTACTGAACAGGGCATTTTCTCTTCTTAGGCCCAGAGCATAGTACAAATCACATAGTGTGGAGGCTTAAGTTCACACAAGCCAATATAAATATCTCTTCCTCCATGTTTCAAATTTTTGTGTATATTTGTAAGTCAAAACACAGTCCAATGACCA